AGGTTCTCCCTCTGCCCGCCCGCTCGCTCGCTCGTTCCCGCCCCGCCGCCGCCGTCACGTGCGCGCCCGCCCCGCCGCTTGGCCGCCGGCCCGTTAAAGGCGAAGAGTCGACGAGGACCTCCCCGGGGCCGCCCCGCTGCACCGGGAGCCGCGGGGGCCCCGCCGGTCGCCTCCCGGTCGGGGACAAGGAACACAAAACTGCTCGGCCTCGTCGAGGAAGACTAAACCCTTCGGCCTCGCTGCTGTCAGCAGGATTCAGGGCTCCAGCATCAGAGCCCCCCGCTCCATCACTCCAATGTCCCTGGATCCAGCACCCACGGGACAAGCAGTGTCCCCAGGATGGAGGGAAAGGGCAGCCTGTGGGGCTGCTCCAGCACCACAGGGGACATGGGGGCCGCCAGTCTCCTTGGTCACAGCCTGGAGCTCGAGGGCAGGATGAGGCTGTCCCCAGTTTCTCATGCTGCGCCACGGCTTTGCTCCAAAAAGCCCCAAAGTGACATATGAGGGCTGGGAGTAACAAACAGATTTCTAGGGGAAGGAGAAAGGGGAAGAAGGAGCTGGTCACAAATAACAGGAAAGAGAATCAGGGAAGGAGGCCAGGGTCACGTCTCCGTGTGGAGAATGCCCAGAGCTCCTCTGGCCAGCGTGTTTCTCAGAGCACTTGGCCCTTCGCAGCAACAGAAAAGCAGGATTTTATCTTGCTGATCACTTGTGGCCGCCCAGGGTGAACCCAGCCTGGTAGGAAGGGCTGGATTTAGGATCCCTTTTGTCTGAGGTGCCAGACTCTCCCTTCCCCTCTGCTCCCTTTCCTTTTCCTCCCTTCTATCCTTCTCTTGCCTGGAAAAGGGGCCAGGAAAATGCAGCTTTGAGGCCAGATGCACGGAGTCAGCCCAAGTGTCTGGCCCAGTCCAGCACGTCTGGAGCACACGGACCCCCGATCGCACCTGCCCGCGGTCTGGGGGCTCCTCTCTCCGCTGCATCCCGAGTTTTCCACCTCTCCTGCCCCGGGACCCGTCCCCGCCAAAACGCAGTCCCCTTCGCTCCCCCCAGGCCCAGAGCGGGTCCCCCCGGCAAGACAGGGGCTGGGACACGGGCTCTCTTTCCTAGGGTGGCCCTGCCACCTCCTGGCCAGCGTGGGGACTGCCAGCCGGGCCGGTGCCACCTCCGTCCCACTCCCGCCGGGCCGCTTGGGGACCCGCAGCGAGCGACCCGGGAACGGGGGCTGGGGACACGGGACATGGCCCCATCACTCTGTGCCCCTCACTCGGCTTCCCTCGCCCTGCCCTTCCCTCCTCCTCCTTTTCTGCCCATCCGGATACCATAGGACGAGTGATGGCAGGGCTCATAGCCGCCAGGCATCACAGGATGTCATCGAGTACTGTGGGATGTCACCGAATACCACGGGATGTCACTGGCTCTCAGCACCCCAAGACCTTGGGTTGGTCCAGTGCTGCTGGGGCAGCACCAGGGAGAAGGACCAAAAAGGTTCCTCACTCTCCAGCCACCAAACCCTGTCCTAGAAGGTAGGAGCACGAGCCCATCCCAGCCTGGCACAGACCCCAGCCTCCTCCTTGCTCTGGAGCTTCTATATTCCCATTTTAGACCCAAGGAGCAAGGAGAGAAGCCAGCCCTACATCCACCTTTTCCCCAAATAACCCCCAAGCAGCACGAGCTCTTTGACTCAAAGTCTTTATTTTTCATCCCCCACTGAGCGGAAAACATCAAGTGCCACAAGTTTTTTTTTTTTTTCTTGATTTGTTTTGTTCTTTTTTTGCAATAAAACACATTCTCACCCACAAGAGTCCAAGCCAAACTGCAGCAGAACTTAAATATACACATCCAAAAACCCAAATCCCAAACAAAGCTTCAACACTGCTGCGTTGGAAGGTGGGTCCCGTATAAATACAGTGCAATCGCTATGTACATTTTACAACACCTGGAGCCAAAAGCAACCCCTCTGGGACCCAATTCCTAGCAAATTCCCAAGGGGAAGGGCTCGAAGATGCGAGGTGATGGCAGGGACATCACTGGGGATCAGCTCTGCTCACTGTCGGCAAGTCCAGCTCCTGCGTTCCCGCATTTCAGGATGCCGTTCCCAGTAGGACTGTCCCCACGGCGCCCACGGTGCTGAGGCCAAGAATAACCCCTGAGCGGCCACATCCAGATCGGCGCTGGGATCCAGTTTAAATATCCCCAGTACAAATAGCTTTAAGACACTGAAGTGGAGGATTGGAGGGGCCGGATCCTCCTAAAAAAATACTGCAGCGAGCGCTTGGCATCCTGCCAAGGTGCTTCCCACAATTTCTAGAGCCAGGAATGAGGAATTGCATGCACATGATCCATATGGCTCTTGCCTACCCAAAATGCCCCCAAGGGACCAGTCCCAACCTTACAGAACTGGCCTACCTGGGGGACATGGGGAAGGACATCAAGACAAGCTGCCCCCCCAGCGACAGGTTTTGGGGCACCACCAAGACGGCCTCATCTTGCAAGAATCGCTTGATTATTTTCTCTTTCTTTCCTTTTTCTATAGGCAGTAATCAGATGAGATCGAAGCAACTCCTTGGATGGGAGCTGGGAATTCTCACAGCCCAGCAAGGAGCCCCAACCCGGCACCCAAAGCCCCTCTGCAACGGACCAGCAGAGAGGGAAGAAAGGCCACAAGGGTAGCAGACATCAACCCGCCACCACGATGCCACCAACACCACCGCAGGAGCCGCCATCGGTTTAACCTTCGGGGTCCTTGGCCGCGCCAAGTAACCGAGGGAGAGGAAGAGGCCGAAGGCTCGCAGAGGTCGAGAGGAGGAGGCGCCGGCGAGGCCGGGCCAGCTCAGTTCTTGAGCAGGTCGCCCAAGTCGTACGCCTCGAAGAGGTCGCTGACGCCCTCGCCGTCCTCGAGCCCCCACAGGTAGTCGTCGTGGGCCAGTGGGGGCGAGAAGCCGACCAAGGGCCCCGCGTCCAGGTAGGACGGGGCGCAGGGCAGCTGGTCCTCCGTGTGCTGCAGGAGGTGCCGCGGAGAGCCCAGCAGCCCGGCCTCCCTGCCCGGGGGCTCCGCTGCG